GCTGTGACAGCACGGGCGAACAGCTCCTGATCAGGCATAGCAGAAGATTGGTGCTGCTGCTGCTGCTGCTGCTGCTGAACAACAGCAGCAGCCGCTGCAGTGCCAGCAGCAGCAGCAGTACGCAGCATCGCAGCAGCAGCAACTCAGCGCGCAGCCCTGCGTGCAGGTCATTGCAGTATACATACACTCTAAACAAATGATAATTCCTTTTTAATTCAAAATTAAATAAATAAAAATAATAAAAGAAAATAAAACAGTAAAAGAACAAAAGACAGTCCAAAGTGAACACTCAGCCCCCACCACCGAACGGGGGCCCCCAGGGGCCCCCCGCTCACCGCAGTGGCTTTGAGTTCTCTCAATACGAAGGCCAAAGCTGCTGCTGCCTATGATTCAATTAAATTAAATTTATTTTTATATTTTGAGATTAAAATTAATTCTAAATGAAGGAGATGACACCGCGAGGGGGCACACCGGCGTTTCAAGTGTACAGCCACTCCACAGAACTGCCCGGCGCCTTGCTGCAGCAGCAGCAGCAGCAGTAACAGCAGCGGCACTAGCAGCAGCAGGCAGCAGCAGGTGCAGGGCTCTTCAACAAGCCCCCACTGCGGGCAGCCGGCTGCGGCAGCAGCCCCAGCAGCGGCAGCAGCAGCTGCAGCAGCAGCAGCAGCAGCAGCAGAATTGATGCGCCACCAGTGTCACTCTGGGCCGACAAAGCATCCCCGACGACAGTGACAGCAGCAGCAGTTGCAGTGTTGTTACGGCGATAGCAGCAGCAGAAGCAGCAGCAGCAGCAGCAGCAGCAGCAGCAGTGCTGCTGTTGCTGCTGCTGCATCCCAGCAGCAACGGCTCAACGCTTCTTGGCCCACTTTCCCTCTAATGGCCCGCATGACAAAAAAGTGGGGGGCCCCTGGGGGCCCCCTGCGCCTTGACCCTGCAGCAGCAGCAACAGCAGCAGCAGCTGCTGCTGACGCGCTGGACTCAGCAGACACAGCAGCACCTACCCCGTCTTCCTTCTGCAGCAGCAGCAACAGCTGTAGCCCCAGCAACAGCAGCTGCAGCAGCAGCAGCAGCACCGCTGCGGGCGCTAGCCAGCCCGCTAACAGCAGCAGCCGTGAAAGCAGCAGCAGCAGCAACACAGCTAGTAGCAGCAGCAACAACAGCAATGCTGAAAGCAGCAGCAGGTGCAGCCGAGCTGCAGCAGCTCCGGGACAAAGAAGGACGCCTGGAGCTTTAACTGTTGCTGCTTCTGCTGCTGCCGCAGCTGCTGCCTTTGAAGAGATCAGACGTGCTGCAGCAAAAGTGAGGGAAGGCCGAAGCGCATGCAGCAGCAGCAGCAGCAGCAGCAGCAGCATATGCTCTCCAAGTTCCACTGTGGCTGCTGCAGAGTCTGTGCAGATATGCCAGCCCTCCTCGGCGGGGCCGACGATGGGGCCTCGCCAACTGCAGCAGCTGCAGCTGCAGCAGCTGCAGCAGCAGCAGCAGCATGAGCAGGATGAGCAGCAGCAGCAGCAGCAGCAGCAGCAGCAGGAAGAGTGTGGGGTGGGTCCGCTTCTCCCCGAGCTGCTGAACCCTCGGCTGCTGGGGCCTTCCTTTTGTCGTTCGAATTCTTTGCTGCAGTCAGGAGCAAGCAGAAGCATGCGGCAGCAGCAGCAGCAGCAGCAGCAGCAGCACGTCGCGTGGCTGGCCCCAGGCTCTCTCGCCTTCGCCCGCCTGCTGCTGCGGCAGCAGCAGGCCTCAGGGGAAGCAGCAGCAGACACCGCTGCCTGCAGTCCCAGGCCTGCAGCAGCAGCAACAGCAGCAGCAGCAGAACCAGCAGCAGCAGCAGCAGCAGCAGACCCGATGGGAAGCTGGGAGTACGCGTTTGACAGCAGCAACTTCGAGGCTTTTGTCACTGAGAGCAAACGAAGGGCTTTTGCAGCAAGTGTGCATTTCTTTATTTAATTAATTTAATATAATTTAATTTAATTAATTTAATTTAATTAATTTAATTTAATTAATTTACTTTAATTTAATTTATCTTCTTTTATTCGTCTCCTTTTTGGGTGTTCTTTTGCATGCGGCGCTGTGGGTTTCCTTTTGTGGCTTTTTCCCCCAGCAGCAGCAGCAGCAGCAGCTGCTGCTGCTGCTGCTGCAGCAGCAGCAGAGACATTCGCCGGGAGCGTCTCCTTTTTGCTGCTGCTGCTTCCTCTTTAACTTTTATTCATTCCCTCTTCTATTTCTTTGCTGCAGCGTCTTCCGTAAACCCTAAACCCTAAACCCTAAACCCTTTTTGTGCTTTTTGCTTTTGCTGCTGCGCACCTGCAGTTCATGCTGTTTTCAAGCAGGGGCGCAGCGGGGGTGCCCGGCTGGAAGTAGCAGATTGCTGGAGCAGCAGCAGCAGCAGCAGCAGCAGCTGCTGCTGCTGCAACGGCGCAGCAGAGTTTGCTTCGATGGTTGACTTCCAGTTGTCTCTTCTTTTCCTCATGGGCTCGCTGCTGCAGCAGAAGGAGGAGCTGCTGCA